CGTGGGTGGTGGGTGTGTGGGAGGAGGGCTGGAGGCCCCCTAGGAGGGCAGGCAAGATGTCTCCAACTAGAGTGGGAGCTGCAGGGACCCATCACCCTCCGCACCCCCACTGCTGTGCCTACACGGGTTCCCCCAGGCGCCCTGCTGCCATGGTAACTGGTGCGCACAGGGAAGCACACGCACACGAATGTGGAACCCTAGTGTCTCGTCCTCCCAGGAGGCCCCAGAAGTCATGAGACTCAGGTGGGGGCCAGAGCCGTGAGGGGAATGGCCCCAGCGACAAGGAAGAGGCACAAGGAGGGACACAGCTCCAGGCATCCGAGCCCCAGATCTGGCAGAACTGGGACAAATGCACAGAGGGATTCGATGAGGGTGAAAGCAGGGACCCCGGCTTCCATGCACGCACATGCAGTGTACGTGGGGCAACTTCCGGGACATGTGAACCCCTAACCCTCTTGCACCCTGGCCCTGCAGAGTCCTGGGTTGAGGTGCCCTTGCAAAGAGAGAGGTGGGGGCAGCTACACCCTGGGAGGCCTGAGGGGAAGAGGTGAGGGCACAGCTGGGTGCAGAGGAGGAGGGGGCAGGAAGGGGGAAGTACCTGGAGCCGTACCTCCCTGGTCTGCCCCTGACCTCTCTGAGGGGCCAGGGTAGAGAGGATAAAGGCAGAGGGCTGCCACCCATCCCTCATGTCACTCCTCCCCCCCAGTAAACAGGCCTCTGGTGCTGCCCCTCCCCCATCAACCAAGAGGGAAACTGAGGCCAAAGCGGTGAGTTAGCAGCCCCATCACAGAACAAGGTCAGGAAGTGTCCCGGGTGGTGTCAGCTAACCCCCGAGACCCTGGCTCGGCCCCTACCTCAGGAGGCTCAGAAAGGCCGGGCGGCAGGGACAGGTGGTGGTGGAGGCAGAGCTACCGTCTGTCTAGCCTGGACCAGGGACTCAAGTGAAGAGGACGTGGAGGGCCTGGCCTCAGGAAGGTGGGGGCTCTAGTGCAATGGAACGAGCCTCCCTGTGAGTGACCGGAGGCCCAGCGGAGGCCACAGGAACCCAGGCTCTCAGCCTCCTAAGCAAACCCACAGGCCACGCGCCCCCCCATCCCGGCCCAGGCCCAGGCCCAGGCCCGCCACCTTGCCCGTGCCGGGTCCCTGGGGCGGGACTCACGTAGTCCTGGAAGGCCTTGGCCTCACTTGAGTGCTCACATGCCTCTCTGCGGTCAGGCGCTGCGCAGTACAAGTCCCAGAACACGCTGTGGGCGGCAGGAGGACGATGGTTTTCCCACATGCCCCCCCCCCCCCCCCCCCCCCCCCCCTCCACAGCCTGCCCAGGCCAGCCCCACACGCACCACCACCAGGAATGCAGGAAACCTGGGGGCTCCCCCAGCGTGATGTTCTTCTCCCATCGGATCTGCAAGGAAGGAAGGCAGGTGAGGAGCCGCTGCCCAGTCTGCTAGACCCGCCAACCCACCTCAGGCAGGGAGCACGGGCCAGGGGCCAGCGGGCCAGAGCAAGGTAGCTGGGTGGGACAACTGGGTACAACAAGGGCAGAGGAGCGAAAAGCAGGTCCTCAGATGGGCAGACGGACGCCTCTATGCCAGCTGCCGAGCCTGACCCACCCCAGCCCTCAGTTCCTGGGGCCTTCAGCGGGGCCACCACTGGAGCCCCGACAGGAGCCGGGAGGAGAGGACCCTGGGGTAGGGCAGAGGCAGGGCCCGCTTACCTCAGACAGAAAGGTCTGTGCTGACTTCTGGGCACCGATGTGCAGCAGGTACTCATACACATACAGCGCCAACCTGCAGGCGGGTGGGAGTGGCTCAGGCTCTCAGGAGGCCCAGGGCCCACACTGAGTCCTCACTGCACCCACCCCCAGCCTCACATGCGTCCCCCAAATGCCCCATCGCCTCCACCCTCACAGGAGATGGCCTCCTCCCTAGTTTCTCAGCCTGGCCAACTCCTACACATCCATCAATACCCAGACTGTGGGCCCCTCCTCTAGGCAACACTGCCAGCAGCCGCAACCCCCCCATTTCCAGGCCCAATCCTGGTCAGTCCAATACTCCTTTGTGGACCAAGTCCTAGCCCATCCGGCTGATGCCAAGACCCCAGAGCAGCCTTGGCCCCGGGAAGGCTTCTGCCTGGAGAAAGGGTCCTGGGTGTCACTCCGACCGCGCGACGGGGGGCCTCTCAGCAGCCACCCTGAGCCGTGCACACGGCACCAGCACCCCCTCACTCCCAGCCTTGCCTGCTGAGGCCTTCCTCCTCCAGGCATCCCTGGGCCCCTTCCTCTTCCTGGAGACCACTGCCTGCCAACTCTGTACCAGCCCCCAGGAAGCCTGGGGCACTGTGGGTGGGTGAGGGGAGACGGGGCCAGCAGTTCCATTCGGCTGCCAAACACCCAAAGGGCTTGGTATGCCCCCCACCACCAACTCAGCAGCTGCCCAGCCCAAGAGCATGGGCCACTTGCCAACCAGCAGCGCCCTCTGCAGGCCTCTCCATCCTCTGCCTCCACCTCTGCCTCCCCTCCCATCTGTCTTCTACACCAGCTGGCAGAGGGATGAGATCCAGCCCCTAGCTATTCCAAAGCCATGCACTACACCGGCATGGCCCCTCTGGGAACCCCAGGATCCTCCTACTGCCCAGCGAGGACTCAGGAGGGCTGGGGGAGGGGCTCTGGATCCAAGACCTTAGACTCCCCAAGGCAGGCCGGAGCCTCCCACTTAACTGGCCACTCACCCCTGGCTGCTCGCCCCATCTGAAAATAAACTTGTTTTGACTCATCCTCCTGCTCTCTGACCCTTCCCAGCCAGGCTCCTCATTCCTCACATCCCAGCCCCCCACCCCACCCCCGGCCCTCGCACCCATCAGACGCCCCTGCCAGCTCCAGCCCTCTGTCCTGCCCCCAGGACCTGCCCCACACGTCTGCCCTTACACTGGATCCTCTTCCTTCCTTCCTCCATCCGTCCATTCTTTCATTCATTCAACAAACATTTGCCCAACACCACCTTGTGTAGTGAACACCACAGACCCTGTCCCCCTGGAGGCTACCTGCCTGTGAGGAGGAACAGTGGAGCAACAACACAAGAAGGCAAGTTATATGGTGAGCTGGAAGGCGGTGTGTACTAAGGAAGGACAAGGGGGGATGTAGCCGTTCTCTGAGCCTGGCCACAGTCTGCACCACGTCACCACCCTCCCCGTGGCAGTGCCTCCAGCCCAGGACCCCCCCGATTCCAAAGTTGCACCCTCCAGCAATCTCCAGCGTCTGCCCCTCTCCAGCCCAATCGTCTTCCCAGCCCCTTACACTCCAAGCTCCCCTGTCCAACTCAGTCCTGTGATTCCTCCCCTTCTAGAGCAGTGATGGCGAACCTATGACACGCGTGTCACAGGTGACACGCGAACTCATTTTTTTGGTTGATTTTTCTTTGTTAAATGGCGTTTAAATATATAAAATAAATATCAAAAATATAAGTCTTTGTTTTACTATGGTTGCAAAGATCAAAAAATTTCTGTATGTGACATGGCACCAGAATTAAGTTAGGGTTTTTCAAAATGCTGACACACCGAGCTCAAAAGGTTCGCCATCACTGTTCTAGAGGCTTCCTGAGCCTTCTCACATGGCCTGCATCCCCAGGCCCACATCCACTGGCGAAAGAATGGATATGAAAAGCCCAGATCTGCTCACTGTCCCCCACTCTGGGCGAAGAGAGCAGCTAGGGTTCCAGCAGGGCCCCTGCCCACTTTGGGGTCAGTGCAGGGAGCAGTGAAGACCAGGGGAATGAGACACCAGAGACAGGTAGCAAGATGGAGTTAGTTGGGGTTCAGGGCGGGAGGAGGGCATGGGCTACCGCATACCCCAGGGGCAGAAGGCTTTTAAAGAAGTGGCCCTTGGTCCCACCACATCGGCCAACGGCTCCAGGCTGCCAGCCCATCAGGTCCCCCCCTGTTTCCCCTGGCCCTGGACTGTCCAGTGGTGGCATCTGACCCAGGACACGGGCCGAGGAGCCACTCTGCCTGCTCTCCTCCCCATCAGCCTGGTCCTCTCCTTTCCTCTCTCTAGGCCAGCGGTTACCAACCCTTTGGACCTCATGGACCACCGGTTGGCGACCGCTGCTCTAGGTGACCTCCCTCCTGCTTTGATGACATCTTCACACAACAACACACAGCGTGCTCCAGCCTGGCCGTCCTGAACTTGGGTCCACTATCCACCTGGCATCTAAAGGCCCAACCTTGCCCTAGCCCAGTGATGGCGAACCTTTTGAGCTCGGCGTGTCAGCATTTTGAAAAACCCTAACTTAACTCTGGTGCCGTGTCACATATAGAAATTTTTTGATATTTGCAACCAT